CATCTATGGGTATCCTTTCTTCTCTTTTTTTATACTTTTTTATTTATGGAATACTTTTTAGCTCAAATAATACCATAAAAGATGGATGGTGTAGAAAATGGTAAATTGGTCATTTTGGGATCTAAATTTTTATTTTTTTTGCAAATTTTCCTATTCTCCTCTTGTCCCAATGTGTCTGAGGAGTGAACATCAAGACCTTTAGGGTAGAAGAGAAGCTTAACATTGGTGAAAATAATAGAATAATTTATTGAAGTATGAACAAGTCATTGAAATTGTTGTGTGTCTGGAGATAGTGTGGATGTACAAGGGAGTGTGTATACCAGAAAGTTGCTTTGTTGTAAATCCAGAGCTACACCAGGAATACAGCAATGAGACAGTTGAGAGACACTATGTATGGATGAATGTTAAAGCGTGTTTTGATGGTCCTGTTTTCTTCACCCGATCGCATGTCTCTTTACAAGAGGGTCTGTTACTCACTCCTTTAATTAAATTTCTACTCAAGTATAATACTCCCTTTCTTATCACAACCTTCCAGACCCATCGAGAGTACCGTTTCCAGGAAATTATAATTTCTATACTTCTCACTCTTCTATGTTAAGATGTTCACTTCACTACCTCTCTGCCACCTCCTTCCTTTCTCTAACCATCCCTTCCCTTACCATGGATTGTGAATGGAAAGGTTGTACGGAAGAGGATGTAGAGAACATAACAAGACACGTGAATAACCACATAGAGCAAATGAAAGATGATTTTATGTGTCTATGGGAGAGTTGTTCCAGGTATGGTGAAAAGCAGGTCTCAAAGTACTCTTTACAAGCACATGTAAGAAAACACACGGGCTATAGGCCCTATAAGTGTGTGAGATGTGAGAAAGCTTACACCAGATCTGATGCACTGAACAAACACATGAAGAAACATGATGTGGTTGATAAAGAAGTGGATGCTATGTTGAGTAGATTTGTCTCTTTTATGTATCTCAAGAAGATCTATGAAGTGAAGCTAAGAGCGAAGTACATGGAAAGAGAAAGGGATATTGAAGCAATAAAAAGGGCTAGTAAGAGAATTCTTGATATTGTCTTGAAGGATGTGGGTAAGAAGATCAATGAAGATGTAGAGAACGGGAAGTGCTTTTGGGAGAAGTATTTACATTTTAACAAGAAGTAGTGTACCAAGAAGAAGGATGAGCCTTGCTTTACTGTTCTCTGAGGATGTGGTATTTCACTTTTGGTTGGTTTAGTGGGTAAAGGAGAATTAAAAGAAAGGGAAAGGGATCAGAGCCATTAAATTAAATTTACTGCTAGCAATGAGAGATCCATTACCACTAAAGGTTTCTCTACGTAGGAACCAGGATCTAATCCAAGAGGACGATGATAACGACGTCCTAGAGTTAAATGAAAACACGGTGGATATCATAAGGAGACAGATCATCTCAGCACAGAGAAGTCAAAGATCTACCACATTTGTATATGTTGCAGTGTTTTATCTAAGATCTGGGGGTGTAACGAGTTTTCACTTGGTGTCTGAAGATTCACTTCTAAGCTTTGTACTGTGTGATTCCAAGAAGAGCCCTGTTGAAAGGGTGTATTTTAACGATCAAGTTGTAGATACAGAGAAAAGAAGCGAAAGGGTAGGAAAGGTTATGAGGGATGGCGTGAGTGGGTTAGTTACATCTAGAGATACGGAGGTGAAAAGATCTGTTGCTATTGTGAGATTGGATGGAGAAGAGTACCACAGCTTAGATTTCTATGAAATGGTAAAGGTCATGGACAAGGTACTTACAGGTGAGATCCTAGTCTTTGGTTCAATGGTACAAGCTTGCTTTTCCGAGCCTCAGTCATCAAGAACAAGAAATAAAGTAATTGTTGTTGTTGGTGTGTTATTTGTCACACTTCTTTTATTCTTACTCTACAGAGAGGTAGTTTCCAAAAGAAGATCCAAAGATTGAGAGTGGTGAGATAGTCTCAGTACTGTCACGATAACACGGTTTAATTATAATCACATCACTGAGCAAGAGAGATAAGAACGTATCCCTTGTACGATCAATCATTGGTATACCGTGATACCACACTTCTTACCTTGCTTAGACTAGTAGTACCCATTCCTACATATCCACCATGCAGTATTTTTATGTAAAAGACCCTCTGGAGTATTGAAGTAAGGTCAAGAAAGATACTACCCGACTTTCTACAGTCTTTAAAAGCATTAAATTGCTCTTCAATTTTGGGTAGTACCATTGTAACCTCACTTAGATATTTCTCTTGTTTTTTAGTGTGGGAGGTACCTATCCTTACAAGCTCTGAACACAGTGAGAGGTAAACACCAAAGATTTCGCTCAAATTCACACCCTTAGAGGTACGTTTTGCATTACCAAGGCATGATACAATGTTTCTGAGGTTACCTTGCATTGCCTTTAGGGTACTCTTATCAAGAGTGAAGATAATGAAGGTAAAGATCTTGTTAGAGATCTTCTTTCTATTACGTAACCGAAAATCACCATCTAGATAGATACCATCCCCGATTTTATAGTTCCCACTCCCTTTCTTAGTCTCATAACAGTAAATGAAGAAGTTGTAGAAAGTCTTGTCTTTGAAGGAGCTGAGAAACTCTCTGATACAAAGATAGAATATGGGGAAGTCCTTATCAAATATAGAGGTGTGTCTAGCATTGTAGTTACTCCTCTCTCCATTAATCTTTTTATCTCTATACCTCAACTCATTGTCGTGCTCCTTCATTCTGGAAAGTAAGTAGTAGAAAACAAAGAGATTGGTGTAGTGGTACTCTACCAGCTCAACTTTGTAGTTCTCTCCTAGAAATTCTGGAAATCTTATCATTTCCCTGAAATACACCAGCATTGAGTATTTTAGTGTTTCTTTGATTACCATCCCCATAATGTCATTTATTGTATCAACCATCCCTTTGGTAAAAATAAAGTTGATGTGCTTCTTCTCTTCACTTCTTACAAATTCAAAGATTTTTAATATCTCCTCATAGTTTAGCTTGTAAAATCTCTTGTTCCTCTCATTGATGCTACTCATCAACATCTGTAATGTTGACTCATCAAGCGAGAGCCACGTTTTTATTTCACTTTTTATTCGTTCTAATGAATCACTCTCCTCTCCTAAGCCATAGCTAGTGGTTGGTAGACCCCCTAAGTTTACATTCTTAAAGTAACTTTGTAGAGAGACATCTCTGTTCACGGGTGGATGTACTTGCATTCTACTCATCTCCTCTTCGCATAATGAAGGAGTGTGGTTTGAAGGACAATTAACAGCTTCACAAAGCTCATGTGCATCACCACCACTCAAGATATTTCTATTACAAATTGACCATGAACTCACCTTTATATCTGTTCTAGATATATTCCACACCGTTTCTGACTCATAACTTGGAGGGTTTTTATTGGTTCTACCGTACTCCTCTACACTCCCCGTACTGTTCGTACATTCGCTCTCTTTCCTTCCAATTTTTACAGGTATGTTCTTCTTTCTAATACACCTCACCCCTTTCATATCCAACACCATTCCAAAATAAAATAAATTTAGCACCTTTTCTATGATCCTTCCCTTCCTGAGTTTCATTAGGATACCAAAACTCGCCTTCTACTTAAATTGTGAGTTAACTCCTTGAGGTAAATGAACCATCTTGGTGAAGAGTCATAGATGAGGAAATGATGAAAATTGAGAGGGTAAGTTGTATAACAACTGGCACTAACCCCACCCACAGTTTATGCACCCTGAAATGAAAGCCATTCTCATCCATACCACAGTAAAAAATGAGATCCAAGCGTTGAAAATAATCAACGAGTTATTAACTCAAAGGATAGTGGCATGTTGTCAACAGATAAAAATCAAATCAAGTTACATCTGGAAGGGGGAAATAGAAAATTCCGATGAGATTTTAGTGATTATCAAATCCTTTGATGTTCTATTTGATAAAATAGAAAGGTTGATTATAAAGAACCATCCCTACGAGGTACCCGAAATTCTTAAATACAAATTAAAGGGTATAAATGGGAGATATCTTGAATGGATGAGAAGCGTTGTATCTGTTGATAGAATGTAATATTTATTTATAGCCTTTAAGTCATTCTATCTCTCTTTTTGGGATGGTTTGATGTTCAATTTGCTAAGAGCTGTAAGAATCTATTTCTATCGATTAGCACAGATGGGATCTCTGTTAACCCACATCTTTATACCCACCCTTCTTCCTAATTCTGATATCTCTCAAGTCCTGCTTTTCAATGTGAACCCTTCCAATTCTATCATTAAATTCGTTCTTTTTGACATTTCTAGCTTTCTTTGGTCTTTCCTGGTAGCAAGCCCTCTTAAATGTCTCTTCATCACAGAAGTACATCCTTTTGGATTCTAAAAGAAAGGATGGGCCCACTTCTTCCAATCCACTGTCTAATATCTTGACATACTTCACAGAGTAAAGTGTATCTCCTATTCTACTAATTATAAAGGAATACAAAACACAATCTAAGGAAACCTCTTTACCACCACAGTTCAAAAAATCGATAAAAAAATTTTGAATTCTCGGATCATCCACTCCTTGGAACACCAGGAAATACTTAGCACCGATCTCTGGTTTCATCTTGCTTTCTTTTATTGGTTTACTTTCCAGAATTGTAAATTCCATCAATTCCAAGTACTCTCCATCAAAGGATCTTCCCATTGTTAAGATTTTATCTCCGTTTTTCCTATCACTCATAGAAATGAACAATTCACTTGTCTTTGGTGGAGTGTCAAAGTAGTTCTTCTTTTCCTTGTCCAGTTTTACGGTACAATCTCCTCGAAGACTTGAGATGTCTCGCAAAGTCTCTAGAAACTCTTTTCTGTTAGAAAGAGCTAAGACTTTCTTTCGTTCCATCTTCATGGAGGTACCAAGAACTAAAATTGTAAGAAGATGTAACAGGAGGGTTGAAAAGATAAAAACACTAGCTCTACACATCCTTCTACTAGCACCAATAACCAATCACTATAAAACTCTCTTCCCTTTGAATTGCAGCGAACTTTAGAACAATTCAAACAGTTCCATCAAACACTGAGCTGATAGACATAGTGCTAAATAAGACACAGAGAAAGACACCAACAGTAGTACATCCCCAGTTCAACATAACGAAAATACGGACCTTCTACAGCAAAAAGATAAAATTTGCTTCTAACGAATTCTCAGAGCGGATGAAGAGAATCACCTCACAGTTCCCGAGATTAGAAGAGATCCATCCTTTCTACTGTGATCTAATAAATATTTTGTACGATAAAGATCACTATAAACTAGCTCTGGGACATGTCAACACTACAAGGTGTATGGTAGAGAATGTATCTAGAGTATGTAAAGCTACTCAAATATGGAGACAATCTTTACAGATGTAAACAGCTTAAGAGAGCAGCGCTAGGTAGAATGGCTACGATAGTCAAAAAGCTAAAGAAAACCACTGAGTATCTGGAGCAGGTAAGACAGCACATGAGTAGAATATCACAGCTAGACCCTTCAACTCGTACCTTTTTACTCTGTGGGTTCCCCAATGTTGGCAAATCTTCCTTCATCAACAAGATAACTCGTGCCAACGTTGATGTGCAACCCTATCCCTTCACCACTAAGAATCTCTATGTTGGGCAGTTTGACTACAGCTACCTCAGGTTCCAAGTCATAGACACACCTGGGATCTTAGACCATTTGATAGAGGAAAGAAATACAATTGAGATGCAAACAATAACTGCACTAGCACATATCAATTCCATAGTTTTGTATTTCATGGATATATCTGAGGTATGTGGGTACTCCATTACCCAACAGATAAATCTCTTCAACTCACTCCTTCCCCTCTTCTCCGATAGCTTTATCATTGTCCTATCCAAGAGTGATCTTAGGAGACTAGGAGACCTTTCCAACGGTAGAGACAATGTGAGTGGTGGGAGTACCACTTCCATCCATGAGATAGACGAGTTATTCAATTTCCTGAGAGATAGGCAATACGTAGAGATCAGTACATTTAGTGAAGAGAACATAGAAGAGCTAAAAAAGATAGGGTGTGAGAGATTGTTAGAACAGAGAATTAAAAGCAAAATAGAGAACAGTAAAGTGGAAGAGTTTAGAAATAAAATTAGTTTAACCAAACCATTTCAATTGGGAGATAAAGAGGAGAGTTGTTTAAGAACTGAGAAGATAGTAACAGAGAGAGAAAAGGAAGTAGAAGATAAAGATTATCTATTTAATGATAGAGAGTGTTACATTTTAGATAGAGAAGAATGGAGATACGATAATATGGGAGAGATATTGGATGGTAAGAATGTCTCTGATTTTATAGACAGAGAGATCTATGAAAAGATGATAAGACTAGAACAAGAGGAAGAGGAAATGGAAGAGAGGTACAATAAAAGATACGATGTGCTGAGTAAGGAGGAGAGTGCTTATAAAGAAATGATAAACAACAAGAGAATGAGCAAGATCAAACAGCGAAATTTTAAGGACAGGTGCAGTGTACCAGAGAGATGGAAGGGTAGGAAGAGAGTAATTAGGGGTGAAAAGCTAGGAGATGAGCTAGAGGTTATAGAAGGGGATGGATTTGCAATGAGCAGTGGTAAGATTGCTAAGGCAAGAGAAAGGAATGAGAAAGGTAAAAAGAGTGGTAGAGAGAGGTACTATAACAGTAAACCACCACATCTCTTTAGAGGGAAGTCAAAGCATGGTGCTAGTCACAGGTAGAGTGTTTAATTAAAAAGTGGTTTTAGTAATCTTACAAGGTTTAGAAAAGAGAGATTGTAAAGATCCTCTTAAGTGATACTATCCTTTGATACAACTAAATAAAGAAAGGTCACACTCTAAGTAACAAATAAAATTAAAGATCAGTTTTATTTCCCACTATAATGTTGTTAACAGGGATGTGAACTAACTTTACCACATAGCCAAGGGTGCCTAGGAAGAGTATACCAATCCAATGAGCTTTGAGCAGGTTTGAATACTCATTAAAGTTGGGTTTAACACACTTCCTCATAAAATTAACGCTTGAGTTGAAATAAAATAACACTTCATCTAGCTTTGAATCACTCTTCTTACCTTTTTGTTTCATTCTTCTCTAGGGGTATACTAGCACTACTTAAGGAGTGTAAGAGTTGTTTTATCAAGTGAAAAGAAGTACTAATTGTGAATTCAAACCCTTTAACTCAAAAGAGAGTCTATTAATACCCTTGTGTATTTTTCTAGGAGTATTTTGAGTATGATAAATGGATAGGATAAAGACGAAGTGGTAGAATGGAAATCAATTAAAAGAGATTTTATAATCTATAAATCAGATGGTTAAGATATTTAAAGGAATATCAAACAGCTTAAAGCAATTATCAATTGTTATCACTTGGTTTAGTTCTCTTATCCCCTTGCCAAAGAAAATGGAGAGAGTTGTTTTTGTAGATCCACAAGAACAAAATGAAAAGTACTGGTGGATAGCTTTAATAGTAAAGGAGGAGGATTATGATTTATTTTTTAAGGAGATGGGAGAGAGAATACCACTTGACAAGGAGTTTCTGGTTTGTTATTTTGAAGATGGGAGTTACTCTTGTGTAGGTGAAAGTGAGATCAAGAGTTTTGATTTCAATTCTGAACCGTACGTTCTATGGAGTAGTGATAAGATCTTCTTAAGAGATAAATCCTACAAGCTAGCTACCTCATATCTCCTGGATGGAAAGATACCACCGAAATTTAAGTGGTTGAAAAGAAAGAACAAAGTTGGAAATTTAAAAAAAGGGAGTAAGGAAGAAAAAACCACGAATACCACTGCTAGTGGTAATAACAAGGTGAGATATGGGAATAAGAGTAAAACTGGTGATGCATTTAATATTCCTAATGACAAATCAGAGAATAATCTAAATGAAAAGGTTGTACATAAAGAAGAGAAGGAGGAAGGGAAAACAAAGAAGAAAATATGGAAGGAGAGAGCATCAGAGAAATTCAAAAAGGGAGTAAATGACTCTTTTAGTATCCATAAGAAGTGAAATGTTGAATATCACACAACATTTCGCTCTAATAAAATCTCACCTTTAAAAACAGCAAGAAGGAGAGAATCAAAAACACGAAGAGAAGGAGAATTATAAAGCTGAATCCACTCTTCCTAAAGATGTTATCTATCAATTTATTGTTAAAAAACAATAAATTTCTAGTTTCTCCTACCTTCTTCTGTATTCCAATCAACCTTTCATTTTGAATTTCTAACTCTTCGTTAATGTTCTGAATTTCTAGATCAGCAATGCTCGCCATTTCAATTGTCTCCTTCACAACACCACCGTCCATTAGAAGACACTACACCCTCTCCTCTTTATAGTCAAAATAAAACAACGTTTTAGAAGATTTATTTAAGTCATAACAAAGTAAACCTTTCACTTCCTGTTAATAGACCCAAGAAGTGATGTGTTATCTGTTATTATGCCATCCACATTACATTTTAGTAACATTAGAACATCCTTCTCTGTGTTAGTAAAGGTCCCGTATGTAAATACCTTAATTCCCTGGTTCTGAAATATTTCAATAATTCTCAGAGGATTCCTCATAAGAACATTTGAGTCAATGACTATTCCATCTAGTCGATGGGAAATACAGAATTTAAGTCCCTCTAACAGAGAATTACATCTCTTATCCCTGTAGAACTTGACACCCCCCTCAGTTAAAAAAAAGATTTTATGGTGCAAACCTTTCATTTTAAGGTAAATTATCACGTCTGGGTGAAATGAGCTAAATACCACATTCTTAGCTTTCCACCTCTCTACAATTCTAAGTATAGCATCTATAAATATTTGTATTTTAGGGATATCCCTAAGTTTATACAGAATCACATCTTCGTTTGAAGGATACTTTATCTCTATGTTATATCCAAAATTTGGATCTAATCGTTCAAAGATACTCTCTAAGGTACATCCTGGTGCATTCAGAACATTTTCATTTCTTACTTCGTGGGTTAGCTTTAGAAATTCGTTTTTCGTTAAAGAGTACAAAGATCTCATCTTTCCATTTGTCTTTATATTAAAATCATGAAATATTAATATCTCTCCATCCTTACTTAGATGGGTATCTAATTCTATCCATCTAAACCCCAAGTCACGAGCTTGTTTAAAGGATTCTAAGGTATTCTCTCTATATCTCACATTTTTACTTAAAAAATAATCAGCTCCGCTTCCTCTATGACCAATAAACATTCCTTTATTGCTCATAACACTAGTCCTATCTTCTAGAACATTCTCACTAGTTATACTATCCTCAGTAGACTCGTCCAATTTTTTAGTATGCTCCAAATTAGAATCATCCATTCTAAACACCTTAAATCTAAGAATGAATCTCTCTTTAAGAATTCTCTTAGAAATCTTAAAATTCTCCTTTAAGTCAAAAAAGTTTACTTGGAATGAGAATTTAACCTTTCCATTTTCATCTACAAGAGAAAATAAAATCTTGTAATTTTTAAATTCAGGTAACTTGAAAATAAACCCCGTATCATTAAAACATGGAAATATCTCTATATTGTGAGATAGAATATCATTTACAGATTCATCATTTATTTGTACCTTTAAAGTAATCATTCCCACTCTATCTCCTTTTTTATTTAAATACTCCACCACTCTTAAATACAATCTACCACCCACTCTCTCTTCCTTTCTTTGAAATAAGTTCATAAGAATTATTCCACCTCTTTCTTTAAGAATAGTACAAGTAATATCCTTTTTAGTATATTTCATACCATCATTTAATATCACATCACTTCCACAATCAAGACCCTTTAAAATTTCAAAATCTTCCAAAGAAAGTATTTCATGAACATTTATTAAATCATTCTCCATTTACTCTTCCTTTCTATCACAAAGACCTTTTTTAATTTTTAAATTTTTTTTAGGTTGATTTTGAAGTGAAAGGGGAAAGGGGAGGGGGAAGACCACTTAGATTTGTTTATTTATCATTGTTGTTAAACTATGTTTACTTAAAATTGAACACTCATAAAATATTTTAATATCATCTCAAATTCTTAGATATATTATTTACCATCTAAGGAATGAGACATCTCTGTAATATAAAAATTGAATGGTGTTATTCCACACCTTTACTGCACTCTTCTTTCACATTCCAATATAGAGCAAAATTTTGCACCCCCGGGAATATCTTGAAGAACAGCATCGGAGCAGATTGAGTTGCTCTGTGGAAAGTCCTCGGACATGTGTAGAGATGCACCTTGAAAGAGGGTATTTCGTCATTGTGATAGTTATGCTGTTAGGTATCGATCTATCAAACTGAATGAGGCTTACTCTTAGGAGATCCCCTTTTTACTTTAAAATTTTTCAAATAAATCCTTTTATTTAACTCAGAGATATCCAAATTTGTCTAAGAGGTACTCTACACCATGTTCTTTGTACTCGTCCAATGTGAGTGTGGGGAATGTGCTGAGAAAATCAGCTCCTCCAAGAGTATCGTACAGTGGATCTTTGGCCTTAGTAACCTTTACCTCCCCGTGAAACGAGATCTTGGTTAATTCTCTTTCTATCCTCTTATCGATGTTTTCTATGGCAGATAGTCCGCCACTTAGAAACACATCTCCTATCTCATACTTTCCCAAACTTTCAAATATCTCCGAAAGACCTGGTTGTTCCATCCCAATTATAGAAGGCTCAAAGAAGACCTCTGTCACCTTAAAAAGCTCAGTATTCAAAAACACCCCATTTATATTCAAATGATCCCCCCTCAACACCTCTACATTGTTAAACTCGTACGGTGTAAAGTTTATATCGTACTCCAAGAGAATGGTCATGTATTTATTAACCTCAAAATTTATCAATCTTTCCATTTCCTCATCCTCTACCTCTCTTATTTTCTGTGCCAGCTCATTTTCTTCAATATTTAGTAATTCTATACCACACATTACCTTATACTTCACTATACTCTCTCTGCTCTTTTTATTTTTCAATTCTAATTTCAAATTCTCTCTCTTTCTTATCTCCCTCTTTATCTTGTTGTATTTAACTCTTATCTCCTCTAGATACTTCTTCATATCACTCTTTCTTTCATACTCTTCCTCTATAATTGTTACAGTACTCTTCATTTTCATCATCTCCTTTTCTATCTTCTGTTTGAATCTATAAATACTTGAAAAATAAATCATTTTATTCTTTTTATTATTTCCCATCTCTTCCTTTACATCTTCCTTTACCTCTTCCTTTACATCCTCTACTAAATCACTCTCTTCATCCTCACTTACCTCTTCCCTATCTTCACTCTCACTCACCTCATCAATTTTAACCTTTTTAATTCTCTTAGATAATCTTTCACTCGTTCCCTTTCTCTTCTCCTCCTTTTCCAACACAATACCATCTACACACCCATTCTTTATATTACAATACATCTCCAAAACATCTTCATTATAATTATTAGCACATCTCAAATACCTTAACAAGGATAGAACCTGTCTATGTTTAATAAAAGAATCCTTACATTTATTCTGTATTAAATAGTACAAATAGTTACTTGCTACACTCCCTCCATAGTTCAACCTCCACCCATCAATTATTCTATCATTCTTAAGCAATATTACAGTACATCCCGAATATGACATGTTAATCAACACATTAACATTCCCATTCACACTATTACCTCTATTACAAAGATAAGAGTAGACTGAATCAATACCCAACTGTACCTTTTTGAATTCATAAACACCAAAAAACAGATCCAGAATCTGTTTTAAATACATTCTGGGTGTGTACAATCCTATCGTAAAGATAAGACCATCCAATCTTTTAATATTCATCCTACTAATTATCATATCTATGGTACCTTCCAATACCTCAAAGTTAGTTATAATGTTGTAGTCAAACATACTTTTTAAGGTAGAGAGAGGTTGATTATCCAAGTAGAATGAATTTTTTACTTTGTGTAGTCTATTTCTGAATACAAAAGAAGGAGCACTAGCATTACCTATAAACCCACACTTACATTCATACGTACCATTATCTATTACTAAAGTGCTATTATTCTCATGTTCCACATACCTATTGGGTGACTCCTTTAGAGTATCCACATTGATAATCATTTTATGGGAGGGGAGAGGAGGGAAGAGAGGATATTTCAGTACCTTTCCTCTACCACTTCTCAAATTTTAAAATTTTTATTTTTGACCCTTCGCTTCTCAAGTTAAAACACTTTCTCTGATAGAAAGCGTTCGTTCCCGAGAAGAACATTAAAGAGAGGGTGGGGTGTGTTACTCTCTACATAGAAATACCCTATACATCCTCTTACACTTTTAAATTAAATTTTCTACCTTTTAAATAAGCTTTTATCACACTTCAGCTCCAGTTCCTCTTTCCTCTCCAAAACAAGAAGAGAGAGACTCTCTTCAGAGCAGATAGAAAGTACAATCCTTCTCTTATCAAATAAGACATTCTTTAGAGGTACATCTTTATAACAATTCAGCAAAATCAAGCAATTAACATCTTTAATTCTATTAAAGTGTTTAGTGTGTGTATACACAGAGTAACAAATGGAATGTTCACCCACTACGTTAGATCTCATTAAATTAAAATTTAGCTCCTTTAAATGGTAATAGGATCTAAAAATGTAGAGAAAGTCTTCCAAGTTAAATTCCTTGCAGAGAATTTCTAAACTTTTTACATCTCTCTCAAAGAGATAGAATACCTCTTCCACATTTAAATATAAAGTTTTATTTTCTTTACATCCAAAATGTCTTAATTTATTGTTGGATAGATCTAAAGGTATAAATCTATCATTAACACCAATAACATTACCATCACCCTTAAAATTATTCTTTAAAAATTTTTTGAAGTTTTTCATAAAATCGCTCATTCTTAAAGGGCTACTTTACTCCTCCATGGATTTAATAAATTCTCTGAAATATTCATCGTTGCATTCCCTTAGCTCTTTAAATAAATGCTTTAGGTAGTACCTGTAAAGTATCTCTTTGCATTCCTCTAACAATGGAAATATTAGCTCCAAGATATACTCCCTC